TTATATATTGGGCAAAAATAAATATTGGTACGGTAGTAAAAGTATAAATCATTGGATGAATAAATATCTATAAGATATCTTGGACTGTCAACTAGTCTGAAAGTTATTTGATTCATTCTCTGATCTATATCTATACTATCGTGTTGACTTTAGTTTCATAAAACAATAAAATTTATAATACTAACCTAGGAACATAAAGATCTAGATTTCTAACATTTTTTACTTCATAGATTACGAATAAAATGTTCGCGATCAAGCGAATTATGCTTAAAATTGAAGTAAAAAAGATAATTTCACTGCACTAAAATAAAGATAATATAAGTATAATAATATTTATGCTTAAAAATATACTATAATAACTAAACTTACATTATCTTGTAAAAAATTTTCATTGTACTCATGTTTTTGTAGATAGTAACAGTTAAGATCAGATGAACATTTTAATTTATGAGGACCTCTTTGAGCAGGTGAAAATTCTCTCAAATGTAAGCATTCGTTTCTATTTCTTTTTTTTTTATGTAAATATGATATAAAGAAATAAATTGGAATAAAAGCCACTAATGCATACACATAATACTTGATTTCATCAAATAAATTTGCTAAATATGATAAAATAAATGGATTAAATGGACTTGAACTTGAATTAATATTTAATATTATTTAAAATACTTACATCTTGGCGTAAAATAATAAATTTCATCAATATCAAGAGCTAAATTTGATATACAAGTAATGGATTTATATTTAATTAATGTGTTTAAATCTTTCATTATTTTTGTTACATTTGGTTCAGAAGAATTATTTACTGTATATATTGTAAGTTCGAGCAAAAATTGATTATTTGGAGTTGTTGAATCAATATCATAACGTCCAGAAAAGTTCAACCTTGAAAAATTAATAGAAATACATTGAACAAGTTCTGTATTTAAAGTCGAAATATTTAAGTTTTTCTCTGTTATATTTGTTATATTATTAAAATAACTTGTTCCTATTTCTGACAAGCCTGAATTTGATAGTTGAAAAAAACGTAAAAAACCTTTTGTTGGATCAGAATTTACTGTAATTATTAAATGCAAAGTAAAAACAAAGGTTCTGTAGTCTAATGATTTAAATTAGCAAAATTTTTGTTTTAAT